GGCTTAGAAAAATTTGCAATGCATGCGAGGGCGGATGGATTTGCATAGCTAGGATTGCCAAGCTACATCAAAACCATTAGGACTATCTGCACACCACGTCAGGTCTCACAGCCTGTCCGCATAGTACTGCAAGGCTCAAGCTTTCAGTACACCCCACTGCCCTGCCCTTGAGATTCAGCCACCAGACAAAAGGGATAGAAGGATCTCAAGAAGTTGTTGAATGACCAAAAAGTTTCTGTTGAGAAGTGGAAAAGGAGATTACAGTGGTTAATGATGAGACTAAGAGAGACACATAGGTGGTGTTTGCCTCAAATGCCTCAAAATCTTCCGCTTAACACAACTGCAAAAACAAGGGAGTGGGCTTCCACAGCCGCTGAGAGGCAGAACTGCAGAGACTTCTGTTGTTCATGCAGCTCCATAGGTAATCTCTTGTCAGCTGAGCACAACATCAGGGGTGTCTGTAAGGACTGGAAGTCCTTAGCCTTACTAGCCTGTAAGTCTAGTCTTTCGGGCTAGGAGTCCATGCATCCTTTTATGCAGCTATTTCATTAAACAGCTTTGTTGTGTGCTGTGTGCATGTTATGATGCTGCATTGAGCCTTTGTCAAATATAAATGTTTACCAGAACAAAAACAATAACAGTGCAAACGTTACAGCAGTGAAGCTCAAGCTGCAAGAAAAAACATTTCAGACTTTATTGGATGTAACAGTACAGATGTGGTGGACATGCCTGCAAGTAATGAGACCACAAGTTGGCGCTGGTCAAGTCGTAACTGTGGTATTTCTGCCTGCTGTTCTCAGCAGAGTGTGCAGAAAGGCAAGTAGCAGAAAAAGAGGTGGGGTTGTCATTGATGCGTCATCTTGGGGCCTGAGTGGGGAGGCTATAAGTGCATGGCTATTGTCAGCATGTGCCATTAATTTTGGACTCTGAAAACAGAGTCCATAGAGATGTAAGGTTTTCCACAGATTAAGGGGAGTTAAAAAAAAAAAAATTGATTGAAATTAAGGAATAGACAATTTTACTCCTGAGAATTAGATTTGTTATATTTATACTGTCTTCAGAATGACCAAAAATACTGACTACCTATTACTGCCAGAAATAAATTCTGGAAGGAATTTATTATATTATAACATTATTAGGGACAGTTGGACAATATGACTTGTTCTAAAAAATCATTTGTTATCTGAATATACATAATTAGCTTGTGTGTAGTAGTTTCTAAGACAGTATTTTATGTAGATAATCTCTTTTAAATCTAAGCAAGAAGACAGCACCTGAACTAGCTCAACTACAAAAGCATCATCCAGTTCAAATCTTTATTGATCACTATAGATCTAGAGTAAAAAAATATCCCTACAAAACTATTACAGAGCTCACAATAATATAGTCCCAGCGGATGGAATCTCAGTTTTTTTCCTAATAGTAAACTGTTCTTCCGTGATGTAATACTTTCAGCTCATCTACATTTATTTAACAGGCACAACCTAGATGTTAATGGCAATATGTTACACCTATTTTTGGATAGCAAACTCTATTGGGAAGGATGTTATCTTTTTGTTTGTACCTGCCTAACTACATCATTCACGATGCATAGATAAGAAGAATGGCACAGACAGCACAAACATCAGAGGAACAAAATCACACACACTTTAAAAAACAGCTGTATTTAAAAATATTCTCTAGATTTAGAAGCAAACAGACTCACTTTCAGAAGTCATGAGGCCTGTTTTAAGTTAACAGGAAAGATGAATAAGGTGAAATAGCTAAGTTATGACAGAGGTAAAATTATTGTGACCAAAGGGCAAAATAAGCTCGGTTACAGAGATAGTCATGTGATCCTATTTCTGCATCTTTCTAGATAAGTAATGGCTTTTTATGTTAAGAGCGATAGGGGAAATACTGTGGTCAAAATAACACTGGCTGTATTTCTATTTGAAATACTTAGCATAATTATAAGAAAATTTGCTTGTGATACATTTGATTTTTCGCAGTCCTAGAAGAGTATATAACCTTAACTTGACTCCCATGTGCCACAAGCAATCATTGTGGAACAGCTAACATGCAGTAACTTGTTCATGTGCAAGGCAGTGGCTCATGACCTGTTCTGTCCTATGTTCAGCACTAACTGTGAAGCACGAGGACCTGCATTTTAGTACGAGAACATGGACAGGAGACTGAAGAGATGGGGCAAAGGTTCAGGGAGTATAGTCTGGAGTGGAAAGATGGAATATGATGCAGGAGATCTTAGGAAGTGTAGACTGGCAGGAAGGAAATGTTGAAATGGGAGCACTATAACAAGGCATAGTTTTGAGAGGACCCTGTGACAAGTAGGGACATGCAGTAGTCTAGCCCACAGTTCTAGCTGACGCTTAAAGCAGGCCAACAGGAAAATACTATGATTTCCTAAGAATGACGTTTTATCTTTTACCACTATCTCCCAAGACAACACAAACAAAACAATACTATGGAATTAAATAAGCACAAGAAACAAACCTTATAAACAAGTGACCTTTTGGGCTGATGAAAAATACTCCCTTAGCAGGCAAATTGCTGCAGGTCTAGCAAAGGCTGTAAGCGTCAGGGCCCTGGATGCTGACTCCTAGGAGTTTAGCTCGCTGCATTCGAGGCCAGCAGATATGAGTTGTTGTGAAGAAAGAGCTGGAAAAAGTGTCAGCAAGGGCCGGCCCTTTATTCCCTCGGGAGCTGTTTTTAAGCTGAGGCTCTCACCCTTGGCCCCAGCCCGAACTACGCAGCAGCCCAGCAGCCATGACTGGCTGTGTATCCTGTTGATCTGGACCGTGACCCTGGCCAACAGTGATAGGGTAGGTCTCCTCTTGGACCTGTCTAGCTATCAGCAGGCTGTCTGACCCTGGTCACCATCACCGGACCGGACGCTGTCTTGCTTTTCTGGCCTGATCCTGGACGTCATCATCACAGATTTGCCTGGCAATTGGGGGTCCAGGCTGCCCCCAGCTGCCACCCCACAAGCATGCCCTGTTCACCACACTGGCAGCAGTGGGGGCCCCCATGGGCCCTGGCTCGCGAGGCCCCTGACCTGCTGGACAGGTTATTGTGCTGCGCTCCCAACTCCCTCCCCTTAGGGAGCCTCCAGCCGTTGCTGCTCCCTCACCGAAAGAGAAAACTCTCTGGGAATGACAAAGCTGCTTTAGAGATAGTATTTCCCATTTGTTCCCTGTAACTGGGGAACTGGTCTCTGTAATGTTTCTACTCTGAGGTGCACTAAAGTTTTAGCATTTTCATCAAGTTGTTGGGTTTTGATGAATCTAATGATTAATTTTATTGTTCCAGTAGAACAACTTAATACAATTAAAATTAACAAAAAATGTTACAGTTGCAGGTACAATAAGTAACAGTCAATCAACAGGGAATAATTTTACCATTTCGCCTAATGATTATTTCCATATCTTACAAGGGTGGAGAGAGACTATTAATCTCAACACCTGAGAGATATTTGGGTGTGTGATCTAGCTATGCTACATTCTTCACGTGTCTCATAAAGCTTTTGCTGGCTACTGTAATCCTCCCAAATCCCCATGGGCTACAGCGGTGGGGTTTGAGTTCCACATTTTTCTCCATAATCATGAGGGCTGTATTTCTTCCTGCTTTTTAATAAAGGCTGAGACTTTGATGTAATCACTGTGGAAACTTGCAAAAAGTCATATGAAGCTATTGGGTAATCAATGATTAAACTGATTCTCAGTTTTTGAGTCAATTGTTTCTTTGGCTTCTGAAAAAAGAAACCAACCTTGGTAAGCCAGTGAAAAGATGAGCTATAGTTTCAAGTATGAGCAATTACACATTTAGAATTGAAGAGGCTTTGAGGTAAAGAGCAACATGTTAAAAATTCATTATTAAAAAAGTTGGCCTCATCCAAAGCATCTACTTCACTGCCATAACAAGCATGAAGACCATTCAGCCCGTTCCTACCTGGCTTTTCGTCTTCTGTCTGCATATTTAGGCAGTGGTACAGCATGTTGGTGGAGCAGGCCTGGAGGGATGGTGTTCTGGGGGCACTGTGGTGGCAGGGCTGCCCATGGCACCTACCTCAAAGACCTACAGCAACCATTGCATGTGCAGTGGCTTACTGGCATGGTGGTCTGCTTTTGGCTGCTGTCCACTGGTGTGCTGAGTTGCTGCCTATCTGCTGATAGGCAGATCTGGGTCACTCGCAACCCTGCCCCTGAGACTTGACTGGCAGAGCCAGCACCAGTTCTCCCAGTGGAGACCCTGGTGGGGCATGGCTCTGTCCCAGGGTGGTGCATACCGGCCTCCTGACATGGCAATGTACCATGCTGGCAGCTCTTTGCTTGTTGCTCTGGGACAGTCAGTGTTTGCAAATGGGAGAATCCCACCTCAGGCTGCCAACGGTTCCTCGCCAACGGGCGCCCGCTGCTCAGGAAACGAGCCTGCTCAGGATAGGGGAGGGCTGGCCTCCCAGTAGGTAAGCTGCGTGCAAGCCTGGGGGGGGACGCAGTGCTCCATCCTAGCACCTTTGACCGTCCTCTGGACATGCTCCATGCTGGGAACACAACTAGCAGAACCGTCCAGAAACTCTGCAGAGCACTACAGAGACTGGGTACTTCCAAGGTTTTCCTCCTGTCTTAAACACCCTTGAGGGGGGGGGGGTTATGGCTTGAAACATAATGCACGAGGTCAGCTACAGACATAGGCACTCAGTCCAGGCAAGAGGGAAGGACTGCTGGAGCTAGCTGTGCCACAAATAAACTATGAAAAACACAAATGTGGAAAATCCCAGACCTAAGGCCATTTCCTATGGTATAAGTGAATTCTGGTATAAGTGAACAACAGGAAGTGGGCAAACCCCAGAAGAAAACTATAAGAAACTAGTGATCTCATCTAAAATACTGGACATATTTTCAAGCCTTAAATTTGCTGTGTTTCCTTGTTAGGCCATAAAAATAACATTTAAAGCTTTGCTGAGCCTTCATAAAATTTCATGTTGTTTAAATGACACTTACTTGATTTTCCAGCCTGCTCCATGCTCCAGCAGAGTTTTGTTGTGGCCGTAGCATCCTGTTTGCTGGAACATTACTCAGAGCACAAACACAGAGTCGGGATCACGAAAGTACATTGTGAAACCTAGTGGTGGAAAAATAAGTATATTTTATGTTGTAATAAAGTTCTGGGTGCCTCTCAGCCCACCTATTAAGAGATTTCAAAACAGAAAGTTGCTGAAATGTCACAATTTACTTTTGTAACACTTCAGATCCTCTAAATAGATGTAAAAACATGAGATTATTTTTAAAGGGTTCATTTATCTACTGCATACAAGAAACTCATCTTAATGCTGTCGTCTTTGAATGCTGCAATATATTGGGGGGGAAGAGTGTCCCTGGAAAATGTGTATTGTCACCAAAGGATAATTTCTTGTGACTTCTGCTGACAGCCAGAAGAGAGGTTGTAGCCAACTGAGGGGAGTGTTAGTGTCATTACCATCAGTATAAATCTGTGTTTTATGAAGGACTGGAAGAGCGCCCCTAATTACCACAACCCAGCATGACATTACTTTTAATAGTTGCCCTCTATATAGACACAGTACAGTGCAGATATGCAATTTTACTTTTGTTCTCCTCTGTTTTATAAAATAAATTAGAATAAATGAGGTAAACCACATGGAAGCAAGGTCAGGCCAGCAAACAATCCATTATGGTGCCTTCATTTAAGCAGTGTTTTCGTAGTAGGGATTATGGCAGCTGTCTGGCCAGCTCTGTAATACCTCTTCTTTATTTCTAAATTATGTTTTTTCAGCTAAAACAATACAAATTGACTAAAAGCTTTCCCTTCTCTTTTAGAACCTGCTTTTTCCTAGATTCACTTTCAGATCTTTTAAGTGTTAGGGTTGGAGAAACAAGCAATTTTTAAATTTGTTTAAACAACTAATTTTGTATTCACAGCGAGACCTAAAAGTTTTGAAGGAGAAAGGATGAAGTTCTTTGACAGAACAGTTGATTTCGATGTTAATATTTGTATTTTTGATAAAAGTCGTCGCAACACAATCTGCAAGAAAATAAGTTTGTAAAGCCACTCTTTTATATGTATTATTTTCATATATTCCATATTTTCATATATTATTCATATAAAATATGATATTAATATAATTCATATATTATTTTCATATTTTCCATATTGCACGAGTGGCCTGTGAACTAGCAAAGTCTGGTTTTCTGCACATTTGTCTCATGACTGAATTTGGTGCACAAGGAGATTGAAGCCTGATTTAAGCTTTTCCCAAAAGGGTACTTACAGGACAAGGTGATGACTCTTAAACTCCCCTTGTGTAACCAGGGCAAGCCAGGGGGTCAACTGAAGTGCCTGTACACTTACATATGCAGCCCTGGGAAACAAACAGGAGGACCTGGAAGAACATATACAGCCACAGACCTAAGGGCCCACTGGGATTAAAGAGATCTGGTGGGATAGCTCACATCCCTGGACTGTTGTGGATTGACACAGGCAGAAGGGACGACAAGCAGAGAAGACAAGCAGGGCAGCGTGCACTCTGTGGTATTACTGTTGGTGCCAGGCCTGCTGAAAGCTGATGGGTCAGGATCAGAGGAAGCCCAACAAGAGGGACATGGGGGAGAGTGCTAACAGCTGTCTCATTAAGAAGAGGAAGTGGATGAAGCTATCTTTAAACAAATGGAAAAAGTTCCCTGATGACAGATCTGGTCCTCATGGGACACTTAAATTACCCTGACATCTGACGGAAGGTCAACAGGGAAGGCACAAAGAATCCAGCGGATTTCTGGAGTGGTGCTCCCCAGGGGCTGAAGCCAGTACCGTGTAACATCTTCGTCTAGACAATCATCACCTGGACAATGGAACAGGATCAACCCTTAAGTTCAGAAGTGACACCAAGCAGTTGATATGGCAGAGGGCAGGGCTGCTATTCAGATGGACTTTAACCAGCTGGAGGAATGTCCTAGACGGGAACCACATGAAGTTCAAAAAAGACAGAAGTGAAGTCCTGCATCTGAGATGGAATAAGTGTATGCAGCACTACAGGCTGGAGACTAATTGGCTAGGTAGAAGCCTTGCAAAAAAAGACTTAGGAGTGGACAGCAAGCTGCATGAGAGTTAGCAGCGCATGTGTGCAGCAATGAAGGCTAACCAAGTGTAGCTAGCAGGTAATTATTTCCCTCTAACCAGCACTTGTGAGGCTGCATCTGGAATGCTGCGTCCAGTTTTGGCCCTGCAATATGTAAGAGATACTGACAAACTGGAAAGTCTGGGAGAGGGACACTAAAATGGTGTAGGTAGTGAAATACAACATAAGAGGAGAGGCTGAGGAACCTGGGTTTGTGCAGCCTGGAGAAGAGGAGGCTAAGAGAGGATCCAGTTGCTTTCTTCCACTACTTACAGAGAGGTTACAGAGAAGACAGAGCTGGACTCTTCCCAGGAATATACATTGAAAGGACAAGAGGCAACAGTCCAAGTTGCCTCTTGGACAAGAAGAGATTCTGACTGGATATGAGGAAAAAATTTCACAGTGAAGGCAGTTATACAGTGGAAGAGGCTGCCCAGAGAAACTGTGGAATCTCCATCCTTGGAGGTATTCAAAAATCAACCAAACAGGGCCCTGAGCAGCCTGCTGTAATGTTGAAGTTAGCCCTGCTTTAAGCAGGAGGTTAGGAGATATGACCTTCAGATGCCTCTTCCAATGTAAATTATTCTATGAAATGACGTCCTGAATTAAAAAATTATGTGGTGGAGGAGGGAGGCAAAGATATGCAAACATGCACAGATGTGTGATCACATAGCATTATTTTCTTAGGAAATTAGATTAAACATCGATAATTTCAAAGATACTGGCTATGGAGCCACTCCTGTTTCTGTACACATAATGGACAGAAAGCTATTGCTTATGGTTTTGTTAGGGTCTTCTGCAGCTCGGTCTCAAAGAACAAGACCCAATTTGAGTTGTTTTTAATTTGATCAAGCTTAAATTGTTAGAGGTTGAAATTTCCTAGGCTGAATGACTTCTTCAGGCTAGTAATTTGGTTTTAAGTCACATCAAGAGTAGTTCAGTCATTTCTAAAAACAAATGAGCAGAAATAAGCATGTTTCCCTCATACTAAAGAAAATGTTTATAACCATTTAATTAAAACTGTGCTTTTTAGTAATATCTTCAAATTTGGCAGCATAGAAAATTTGCACAAGCTTGGCCAAGTCATGAGTGTCTTAGTTTACATAATTGCAAAAGAGATTTGTTGGCACCGAGTATTTGATCTCCAGCAGTCAATTCATACTGAACATATTCCATTTCAGAGCTTCATAGGCAAGCAGAGCTTTTCATATAAAAAAAGGCCTCCTGCAGGGACAGTGTGATGAAGGCAGTGGAACAGAAATCAGTGGTACTGTTGGTACGTAGCACTGCAGTTTGAGTAACATGACTGAATAGTAAGCATAGTAAAGAATTAAGACAGGATGGAGATGAAAGGAACAAGAAAAGGTTTGTGATAACAGAAGTGGAAAGATTTACAAACACCAAAGCATACTCTTCTCCGGAACTTGAAACTGAATCCTATGCTCAGTGCCTTCCCCTGAAAACTTAATTTTTAAGAAGTATTAAATCTTTAATCACAGTATGGCATAAATATTTCTTTTTTTCCCTCACAGGATTTCTGAACAGAAAATAGATTCTGTTTAGTGAATGGGCCATGCTACTGAAAGAGACCATATCATTGTCCTTGCTTGAAGAAGGAATGCATGTAAAAAAAAAAAAAGGCAAATGATTTCAGAAAGAGAAGCATAGGTTAGATGATAAAAGCAAATGAGGACTACAGGCCCGTCCTTGCCTTCATCTCACCATCTCCATGTGATTTGGGCAAGTTCCTTAACCCAGATTTTTCACAAGTGATGATCATTTTCTGAGTACCCTCCTATAAGAAATCTTGACTTTAAGCTGCTTTATACATCTACCTTAGGATGAGATCCCTCATGCTCCCCAAGCATGTATTTCTCATCCTTGTAGTCAGCTTGTTCAGACGCACGTATCTCCAGTGCAGATGGCTGAAGTCTGGAGAAATGAATGTCATCTACAGAGCTTGATTCAGAAAAACACTGAGCTCTCACAGCTGCAACAGAAAGCACTGGGGGCTAAGAGTGAACATAGACACTTATAGGAAATGTTAAACAATCTCTAAAAAAAAAAAATCCGTCTCCAGGTATCATGTTCTGGACCCTAAATTTTTTGGTTCTTTCAATCTTTTTTCATTTGTAAAATCAAATTCCCATCTCCATATCCTTCAGTGCTGTTGAGAAAATGAACTAATTCATGTTCAAGAAGCAGCGGAATACTATATTGCTGAGTGTCATAAAAGGAGGACAAAAAAAGATGAAATTAATTATTCTGGGTTTACAGCACGGTGCAAGGAATGTGCACTAAATCAGACATGGAACCATACAGATGAGGAGTACATGAAACGCACAGTATCTCCTTTTCCTATTACACATACACTCTAGACAGGATACAATTACATTTCCCGTGCTCCTGAAACTATTTTATAAAATACAGCTGAATTAAGGCAATATAAACTTTAAAACTTTTTTTTTTTTTGCTTTGAAATTAAATCAAAGAAGTGGAAGAAAACCATAATCAGCCAAGCAGCATCTAAACCCTCCGTTTGTTTGACTCTGGCCATCACCAGTGTCCAGTTTTGATATCTCAGGGCCAGCTGGACACTTGGAATCCCCACGGTGAGCACACTAAATAATGTAATTCCACTTCAGCTTCGAAATGGAGCCTTTCCTTCCTATCCCTTCTGCTGCACACCAGTGATCTACACTGCACAGAGCTGTCCCAAGTACAGGTAATCATGTTTTCTCTAGTATCAAAACTAATCTAGCCTCAGGAACGTGAAACACTATCTGATCTATTTACCCTGCCAAGAAACAGCATAAAGAAAAACTCCACCTAGCACCTATATCATTATCAAAGGATACTAGGAGGGAAACAAAACTTATTTTTTACTTACCGCCACAGGCTACAATAGATTAGTCTGTAAGAGTTTACTGTGACTCCCATTCCCATGTTCTTAAAAGCACATTAAAAGCTCTCAGTTGTAACAAGTATGCAC